AATGAAGTTGAATAACATTTCCTCGTTACCAAAATCTATAAACCTATTTTCACCATCTTTGATTTCCAGATTTATATCTTTAATCATAAAGGAATTAAGTGGTAAATACGTCGTTTGAAATGGTTTCTCTATAATTCTATATCCTATCGGTACAGTGAATGTTGGAAGACTGTAAATAATCGGACGTTTGTATTTATTGAAAAATCCACCGTTTATTAAATTGCAATGTATATTTATCACATCGATATCATTCTCGATATTAGCTTTGTGTGGTGCTAAAGTGGATTGGGTGTATATTTTTTTATCAAAGCCTAGTAACGTATTCAATGAATTTTCTACGTTGAAATCAACTTGACAATTATTTCTTAATATCAATTTTATTTTGTTTAGATTCAAATTACATTCGAATTCGATATTGTTTTTACCATTGACGCTTCCTGAGTATTCAGATAAGTATTCGTTAATGGCTATGTATTCGTAGCTTCCTGGTAGTAAACGTATGGTTTTGAATGTAGCTCCATTATCTGTTGATATTTTTATTTGGTAATTTTTTTCGTTGATATTTCTAATGGAATTGTAAACAGAGAAATACTTTAATCCCAATTCATATTCTTGATTGCGACGAGTTCGTACTCATAATCTAGAGATAATTTGATGTCTGATTTATTCGAGGTGATGACGAATAGTTGTTCTTTATTTGACATTTTTAATCACGCTTTTATAATCGTTTTTATCTATGATACCTTTCTCTAGGAGTCTTTTTAATATACAATTTACTTCATTATATTGTCTGTGCGATTGATGTCCTTCCTTCATGGCCGCTAATATTACTCGTAATCTATTAAGTAGTTCCTCGTTGTTGTCGGATAAAAACGTTATACCTTCTCCAGATACCATATCTTCGAATTCGTCTATTTCTTGTATGATTGGTGGATAATCTTCTGCATAATCATCTGATTCCTCTTCATCAGGAATAACTTTATTTAAATATGTTTCAACTGTTTTCAATCTTCTTGTTTCGGGTCCCGACTTTCTTATTGCATGTATCGATTTTGAATAAAGGGGAATTTGGACTAAATATTATTCTAAATCCATTAAACAACAAACCTTGATTATCAACGATTGGTGAAATGCTCTTTGGTAAATCTGGGTCAGGGTTTGAAAAAAGACGATTTATATCATCTAATGTCCTAATTATTATACCATTATATTCAATCGCTTTGGGAGGTTCTATAGGAGCTAAGGGTTCTATAGGAGGTTTATATTCTAATTTCCTTTTAATATCCTCTTGAGATTTTAATATGGGTTGAAATAGAGTCTGTAGATTTTCCGTTAATCCGAGTTGTTGTAATCTATTATTTTCAACTTGGGTCTTTATTTTATTCTTAGCTTTGATATATTCTCTATTTCTTTTTAAAATATTATTCCAATCTGTCATTTTTAAAGAAATGAACTGTCGATTATAACTCTTTCACCCGCAGGTTTTCTAGTATTTACAAATACATATCCATGATCATCTGGATTTCTCCATTGAACTTTACAAACCTTTTTAAATGCATCTCTGTCCATTCCGTGGTTTATCGATTGAACGATTTGAGATAAATCTTTGTCGTTTAATTCGAATAATAAAAAACAATTTGCATTTTTTCTAATGAACATAGAATCCATCCCGTAAAAAGATTGGGATTGGTATATGCAGTGACAGTTGTGATGTCTTCCTTTCGTGAAGAATTCTTGTTGAACAGCTTGATTTCTTTGCGCCACGCAGTCGTCAAACACTAGTAAGTTCTTTCGCTCGCTATCAATTTGAGACAAATCTAGATCATTAACATTTTTCGTAAGAAAAACTTTTATATCCGTTGGTTTCTTTCCTTCGATGTAGTTATCTATGAAATCTTTCCATTCCACTTTTTCTTCGTTTTCTTTGTAATATAGAAATAGGTCTTGAACATCTCTCTTTGGTAGATATTCTAAAGCTTTGAGAAATTGATAATACGATTGCTCTGGTGTTGTTGTGTAGATATAGAGAAAATCGAAATCTAAAAGCTTTGGTGTTGTCAACATGTTAAAAATGAGATGAGTTTTCCCAGAACCGGAACTACCGCATATACACATGAGCATTGGGTTATTAGGAAATATTTGTGAATGATTAAATTATTTACCCATTTTTTATTATTTTAATTTGTTCCAAAAATAACTCCTTCTCCTTTATACTTCGAAAGATATATTCCTTTTCCAGTGTGTATATTTTTTAAAATATTCCATTACCCTTATGTTTGACTTTGACTTCTCCCGTGTCAATACTATCTACTAATTTATTTAATCCTTGTTTAACAGTTTTCTTGGTTTCTTCACTAAATCTTTTTCCAAATTCTTTCATTGTGCCTATCATTTCTCCCACTCCTGAACCTTTGGCCAACTTTTCCATTTTTAAATTATGTCTATGTTCTTCGGCTGCTGTTACTGCAGCTGCTTTCTTTTCGTTGGCAGCATTGACTGCGGTAGCTGTACCACCAGCTACTGCACCGGCTGCAATAAGTCCACTAAATATTAAAGGTAGGGAAAATATAAATCCACCTTCTTTTGCGTTTGCGTCAATTCTTTCTAAGTCTATATCGTCTCTGACTTTACAATATTTATATTTATCAATAAGTTTTTTTAGTTATGCTGATTTT